TCGGCACCTCCCCCCGCCCCCCCCCCCAAAAAGGAACTCTCCTGTGGCAATAACTCTGGGGAGGCAATTCCTGCTTTGGACCCCATATCTTGCTCGTGCAACCCCCAGAAGTGCCATTATCTTTGGATGCTGAGAAATGGACCCCAGACTCCTATAAAGAACAGGAGGAGAGTGGGGAGCAGTCCTGGACTGGGTCCCCACTTTCCCAACCTTCTTTTGCGAGGAGAAGCCAGTGCTTGCAGGAGAAGACTGTCGGCCCTTTCACAGGCAGCCGCAGAACCTGAAGGGCAATGATAAGATGCAGGAGCCGGTAGAGAGAGAGAATGTGAGACCCGTGTTAAGCAGGGCTGCCTCATCAGGCTCATCCCATTCAGAGAAGCACTGCCTTAACCAGAAAAAAAGAAAAAGACACTGGCTCCCTTTAATCTGCGGCAGTGTTCGTCTGCTAGAAAACTTAAATGGCCTGTGCTGTCCCTCCCAAGGTGACCTTCATTGTTTTAACATGCTAAAATATCTGGCTTACGAGACAGACTACAAAGATGAGTGGGGGAGGGGGCATCCGAGCAGCCCTTTGTGCTTTGAATGGTTTCTAGGCAGGGTTTAACTGGTAAGGTATACCAAATGAAAACAGCATAATGAGAGTTTGGAAAGCAATTATTCACAGAAGGGTTATTATTTTTAAGAAAGATGAAGGGAACCACGCTCTCTCTCTCCCTTCCCCTGAATGGAACTGTTTGCCCATCCCTTCCCTTTATACTGGCTCACTGAAACCAGCACTTAGGGAAGGAGGAGGAGGAGGAAAAAAGCAGGAAAGGCACGCTGAAAAGCTCCTGGGCTGGCAAGCAGAGGCAATTTAATTAGGTGTCCATGTGATCTTCCAAAACAGCAGGTCTGGGGAGAAGGTGCCAAGGAGAAACTTTGCAGAGAAGCATCCAACTTCTTCGCAGCTCATAAAAGAGATTTTGAGCCTGGCTCAGGAAATCAGAAATGCAATTTAAAGAATCACTGAGGGAGCCTGGGATCTGGGGATGGGGGCGAACCCTGAGCCAAAAGCAGCAGAAAAGCAAAAGCAGTGTTCATATCAGTTCAAATTCTTAAACTCGCTTCACACCGACGAGCGTATGAGGTGGGCAACCTCACCTTTGGCTGAGACACCACCGAATGGTCTTCTGTATTGAGGCATTGCTGGTGCACACAAGGAAACTCCATGGAGGAAACTGTTCATACATTTGCACATCTTTCCTTCAAATGTATTTCATGCACCTGCCCGACAGGTCTCCAAGGTGACTGATAATAATGCATAATGCCTCTACCGACTTACGGCAAGTGCTACCATCTCTCCGGTGTTTCAGGCCAGAAACCTTGCCTAGTCTATCTTGAGGTGCCAAAGATCAAACATGGGAACCCCGGATTTCCTTGTTTGCAGTATTTGCATACCATTCCTGAGCAATGAACAGTGCAAAGCAAAAACTGGTGAAAGAGTAAAACGATGCACCGGAGCCACAGGAAGTCAGCATCGGAGACTTCCTGGAACGAGAGTGTCTTCAGCAGGTGCCCAGAACAGCACAGGGCTGGTTCCTGCCTGAGCTCCGGGGCAGGGATAGCCACAGGAACTGGGCCGCCACTGGTGCCTTTTCTCCCGGCGGGCAGCAGTTGGGCCTTGGCTCCCTGTGGAAGCACCAGGAGGATGCCCGTGGAAAGCACGTGCCGGAGTCCAGAGCTCTGTCACCTCTGGCACTTGATGGCTTTACTGGTCCTCCCTCTCCAGGGAAGGCACAGCAGGCACCCTACACTTCTGCTTTTGATAACTCTGACAGCAAATATGTCTCTCATCAATGGCATGACTATTCTTGGTAAGCCTTATCACCCACATGCCTGTCTTTTTTTATCTAACAGTTTGTGCAAAAGAGGCCTCTGCTATTTTTTTTAAGTCGAACGTCCATTAAGTTTCTATCCGTCAACGTATCTCCTTGCAAGGGTTATGTTGCAGCCTCATCAAACAATGCACCACAATTAGTTTCAGAGAGAGAGAGAGAGAGAGAGAGAAAGAGAGAGAGAGGATGAGAGATAGAGGGAGGTGTGCAAGTGTGAATGCTAATGTTGGCCTCCTCTCACCAAGTCTAATTTCCCGGTCCCTTCACGCTCCTTTTCTATTTTGACCTCCCCAAAACCACTATGATTCATCCATGCAACTGACAGTTCTAAAACTTTTCCAAGGATATGTTCAAAATAGCCTAAAGAGCAAAAAGCTACTTTGCAGGCATCGCAGAGGTGGAAATCACAGGAAACCAGGAGCTGCCTCAGGCCACGTCAGACGACAAGCTGAGCAGTGGCTGCAAGGAGTGGCGATGGCTCCGCGGGGTTCCTGGCCCTGGACAGACCCCTCATCTGCTCCCTGCTAGATGGGGGCGCCAGGGACTGAAACTGGGGCTTCCCTTCCCATGGCAGAGCCAGGCTGCGGAGGGCCCTCGATCAAGGCACTGCCCTCTCCATCATTGCCACTGCCCCCTCCTGAGCCTCGCCCTCCTTCTTGCAACTGCTGCTGCTGCTGCCTCGCTTGGCAGGGGAAGAACAGACAGGCAGGAGCTCCTCCTGCCCACCATGTGGGCTAGACCGAGACACAGGTGGGCAACCAGCTGCACTGGGGAAGAGGAGAAGCCAGTCTGGAGCACTGGTTTTGTCACAGGCCCCTGCCAGCATGTGGGCCATCGCCAGGGGCCCAGCAAAGGCTGCCGTGCAGGAAACGCACAGGATCAGAACCGGAAGGGGGCGAGTAAGCCATCGAGTGCAACGCCCGGCCCGGTGCAGCCAGGTACTTCCCACCTGGCGTAGAAATCAAGCAGGGCAACGGAGGCTCAGTTGCTCCATCTTTTCCTCTCCTTCCATAGGGAAGGAACAGGAAGTCCAGCACAGAAATCGAGCAGAGGAGGAGAGGACGCAGGGAGCGCCTATTTCGAGGCTGGAGAATGTTGTGCTTGCCGAGGCTTTTCACTCGCCAGCTGGGCTCACAAAGGAAAGGCGGAAAGCTTTGCCTGTACTTCACAGTGCCCTCTTCTGAACAAAATGCAAGTAAATAAAAGAATAGGCGAGCTAGTCACCTAGGGGTCTAGTTTCCAAGGTCGGTGGAGCAGGCATGCTTTTCTGCATTTAAAATAACTGCTCCTATTCATCAAATGATTCCAATTAATACCGAAATGCACTGGAGCCACGTGGGCTTTGCAACAAGGTCATCACTTTTCTGCTGCTCAGGGAGGATTCACTGCTTTAAGTTCGTGTGTGTTTGTTCCACTGCGTTAGGAAGGCTAGCTTTGCCCCTGCGTGCAAACAGATTGTAGGGGCTGTTCCAATAGGAAAAGCAACGTCTTCATCCCCTCCCCTACCTCTCTCTCTCTCTACACACACACACACACACACACAGAGAGAGAGAGAGAGAGAGAGAGAGAGAGAGAGAGAGAGAGAGAGATTACACACACACACACGCGCGCGCGCGCGTATATATTTGTATTTTATTGTGTTGTAAGCCGCCCCGAGGCTTCAGCAAGGGGCGGCATAGAAATGTTCTAATAAATAAATTATTTATTTATTTATTTATAATTTTTTTATATATAAATAAATTTATTTATTTATATATATATATATATATATATATAGAGAGAGAGAGAGAGAGAGAGAGATTATATATCTCATTTATATATATTATATATATCGTGAGCAGAGCCGGCTGGTGCCGAAGGTCAGACTAGATGGCCTGGGAGGCCCCTTCTGACTCGCTCTGTTTTCTATGTTTCTATGTTTCTACATATATATATATATAGAGAGAGAGAGAGACAGAGAGAGAGAGATTATATATATATATATATATAATATAATCTTGCTTACAAAGCAGACTACAGCTAAAAGAGGGCCTCCTTCATCATATTCACCATGCACCAGATTCCTCTCCCTCAATTATAGGCTATGAACGTATCATTCCCTTCATTTCCAAGGTCGAGGCTGCAAGTGCCAACCGCCGCGGAGCCAAAGTGGCACCACAGACAGACGCGCGGATGGAATGCGATCAGGAGGTTGTTGGGAGCATCCCAAGGGCTGCACACGGCCAGTGGCCCCAGGAGACTCACTTTTGGGGTGGGGCTGCAATGCAGAACTGGGGGGGGGGGAGGGCTGGAAGGGCGGTATCCCAACTCCAAACTGCCGCATTTCACACAGTGCGAAATTTTGCGCCCGCTTTGCTACTGGTGTAAACTAAGCTGGGTACAAACCCCACCGAGCACAGATGCCGTTCCTTTTCTGCACAGGATCTTGCTTAGCTGAGCCAAAATATGATGGCCTCTCTGCACAGGATTTTTCTCCCCCCTCCACTGCCTTTTCTGCACATTTTATTATAACTTTACTAAGCAAGCAGGGGAAACACAGCTAGGATGAGACTGAAGATCAATACAAAATCTAAGACAAAAGCTTACCCAGTGCAAACAGTGCTAATTTACACTAACAAGTCCACATGAAATAATGGAGGGATTAGTAATTAACTCTTGCATTGTTATTTGCTACATGAAGAAATCCAATAACAAACCACCACAAAAGCTCTTATGCAGAGGGGAACTGGCAGTCTTCTGGCCTCGTAACACAGAGCACCCCCCGTTATAAAATTGCTCATAATCAATACAAGCAACACAAACAATATTTGGATGGCTCAGCAAAAAGTTACATACTGTGAGGTACAAATTGATTTTTTGGGGGGAATGAAAGCATAGGAGAAGAGGTGCTGCAGCTGAGCAAAGCACGGCCAAGGGAGCTTAGCATCCTTTTTCCACCACAGGTGCCGATGGGCAGTGCCCCTGCAGGAAGGGAAGGCAACAGAAAAATGCCTTCCATGCTTGCGAGTTTGCTCCTGCTGCAGGAGCAGGAGACTGAAGCTGTGAGCCTTCCAGGAAAAGCCCAGGACTTGGAGACCCAAATGCACCCTCCCTGACCTTCCAGAAAGCAAAGCCTACAGGTCCTACCTTGGTCTCTGTCCTCCTTGTGGTCCCGTCTTCTGAAGTCACGATGGAAACATGGGAGGTCGGGGTGCCTGGGTCTTCCTCTACGGTGACCGTCTCCTCCACCATTTCCTGGGGCTCCTGCATCATGGCTATTGATGTCTGGTTGCTGGGGCTTTGCTCCTAGGCAAAGAAGAACGGAATGCATGAACACTTCGAAGGAGGGAGAGCAGGGGGGACGCGATGCCAGGTGCACAATCCGCGGGAGTCAGGTGGAGGTCCCTGTGGGTTCCTAAACTTTCAAGCCCCTGTCCGTGCCTGGCATTGTTCAAGAGCAACTTCTGGATCATTGTTGCCGAGGCTCCCATCAGTCACAAGAAGCAAGTCAGTTGCTGGCAAATTTACACCCCCTGGGAATCCCACCACGTCAGCTTCAGGACGGAATTCTACAAGTTGGATCTCCTCTAGCAAGAAAGATACTCCCACTGCGGAGTCGTGCTGTATTGGCAATGCAGCCCATGTCCCAAGGACCACGTTCACAGCAGCCTTCTCCAACTGGGCACCCCCCAGGGCTGCGGTGCCACAACTCCCATCATCCCCAGCCATTATCTGGGGTGATGGAGGTTGTAGCCCAACCCCCAGTCAGCATGGCTGCTATGTTATAGCATGGATGGGACGGCTGTGGCTACATAAGCGAGAACCCTTGCTCCGGAAGACTGGAACACTAGGGAATGGAGCCAATGCTTTGACTGGGAGAGATTCCAGACATGAGGGCATCCCCTTGCTAAGCGCAGGCAGATGGATGTGTTCCCATGACTTTCTGCTGCTCAGAGTGCGAATCGTGATGCTGTCACACATGGCACCAAACCAGCATATCAAAAGCATCACGCTATCTTATCCTCGCACGCTGTGAGGCCAGGACTTCGGGGCAGAAGGTGAGGGCCCATCTCGGCAGACTGAATGGATGTCGCCCTTTGACTAGGGCTGCCTGAACAATGTGTTCTTGTTCTTTTCTTGCCCAGTTTGCACCTTCTAAATGCAATCTATGGTCAAAGTCCGTTTCTAAGCTTGAGATGTGATGCACACCCCCCCCCCCCCATGTGTGTGCATGCATGCATGCATTTTGAAAATTTGCAGAAGAATAGGTACTTTTGGAAAAGGGTGAAGAAATACACTCTCGTCAATGTGTACATGCCAAAGGTGTGCACCACTGATGTGTACATCTGGAAAAAATACAAAAATATTTTCATGCCAAGAAAGAAAGAAAGAAAGAAAGAAAGAAAGAAAGAAAGCAAGCAAGCAAGCAAGCAAGCAAGCAAGCAAGCAAGCAAGCAAGCGAGTGAGCGAGCCCATGATCTGATAAGGACTGGAGTTAGAAAGAACTTGGAGATGGAGCTTGGAGAACTTACATGAGTTCGAGTTTTGCTGATCCGCACACCCTAAATGCATTTTGAAATACACAAAGTAACACTAATTGCCTTCTAAAAAGCCACCCACCCAAAAGACCATTAAGCCCAGAGTCTAAAATTACCGAGCTGCAGTAGCAACGCAAAACTTTTAAGTCTTTTTAATAACCTACAGAGAAGCTAAGAAGTCATTTGCTCACAAGCCCCAAGAACTTGTCTCTATATTTACTCACTGGGCCTCCATTTAAATCAACAATAAGGCACTTCTCACAGGAGGACTGATTGTAAACTAGCTTTAAAGTGACATGAGCAGGAACCATGAAGATTATTCTTATTCTTATTATTTTTCTGCTTCACATTAAATACTCTGATTTAATTTTGTTCTCTTAATTGCTATGATTTTGTAACACTTGAATATCAACATAAACATGAATTATGGTTATAAACAGAACAACAGAAAAGAGACAGGAAGGAGGGTTAAATTGACTTGTGAAAGCCACCCTATAGCTTATGCCCTAAATAACTCCAGCAAGTGGGGTGCATTCAAAGCTACCATTACGGAATATTTACAAAAGACCATTTTGCCATATTTAAAAGCGATTTGTGTGTTCTCTCTTGCATGGGTCAAACCTCCAAGTTCTTATTTACTGTGTCAGTAAATAAAGGATGCAACACCATGAATGTAGCTATAAATCTAAGGAGATACTAGGTAAGTTCAATTACAAAGGTGATGCCGCTGGTGTGCTTTTTGTGATGGGTGTTCCTTTATAAGCACAAAATGAAGAGGACAAAGTGGAGTCATCGGTCCAGAGCAGCCTGACCGATGGACATTGGGTCGTTCCCATGCCTGACAGTCAAAAATCTAACCCCCCCCCCCAAAAAAAGGGACACCACTGTGGTACTAAGCAGTCTTAGTGGTACAGTGAGAAAAAGCTGGTGCCCTAAAGAGAAACACAATCATCTTGTTCTCACGGAGATTTTCAGGGTCACGTTTGTTCCATCTCACATGTGCGTGACTGTTTGGCTGTAAACCCAGCAAAGACCTTCGTATGGTAAGTGTGTGCATTCTCCTAACGCACACATCTGTCCCAACTCAGAGAGTCATTTTGTATGCATGTTTTCTCTGCACATGTTTTTCCTAACAAGTTGTTTCATTCTGGGGCAAAACTGCCTCACCTGAGTTGGTTCGGGAGATCCAGATTTGCAGAATTTGCATGAAAATCTTGACACAAGGAATTGCCTCACTTATCTTTAGTGCCCAGGAAACGGGAAGCCTGCATATTCCAAACCAGACTATTTTCTCCATGTGGCTTGGCCCATGTTGTCTGTTCTGACTGGCAGCAGCTCTGCAGGGTCTGAAGCAGAAGATTTGAACAGCACTTGCTCCCTGAACTTTTGTTAAACTGGAGCTGAGGACTTCGACAGCGACAGCATCAGCATCGGACCTCCCTGGGCAACCACCTTGCACTCCACCATCCTCTAACCCCCTTGATTGTCAATGGCTTGGTGCACCAAAGGGCACCAGCAAGTGAGTCTAGCCCCACTTCGGATTTGGTTCCTCACCTTCTCCATAGAACGCAGTCAGTCAGTTTATTGTATTTAGCCATAGGCCATTACGAGCTAACAAGGCAAAACATTGAATTAACAAATAAAACCATAAAACAAATGTATTAAAACATAATACTAAAAGACAGACCAGGTGTAATTCAGGACGGTGTCCCCTTCCAAGCCTTCCTAGCTCTTATCTTTTTAGCTGTGAGAGCAAAAAGAGATACTTGATAAGACACATGTGTATCAGCATCTGATACGTAACAGGGACACTAACTTCTCTGAATCAAAGTAGGCATTAAAGGCGGGTAGTATGAGTCAATTTTTTTCCCTAGGTTCACAATATAACAAACTGAAGAATATAGAAACACAGAAACAGGGTGAGTCAGAAGGGGCCTCCCGGACCATCTAGTCTGACCCCTGGCTCCAGCTGGCTCTGCTCACGACATGCCTATCATGTGCATGTCTAGCCTATCCTTGAACACCCTCACTGATGGGGCCTCAACCACCTCCCATGGAATATAATGCAAGAGGTCCTCTAATTCAGGTGATCCACAGATGCAGACACGCTGCTCCATTGGAATATGATAATAGCAACCAGTTAGTAAAGCTGAATATGTGGTTTGGACACGAAGGGCTGTAAAGGCCACCCTAAGGCTATAATTAGGGGTGGAAACTAAGTAATCAGATCTTAGATGGTCATGTTTAATTCGTTTAAACCAAGGGGCAGCCTTGGAATGGAGAACTGAAAATTGGTCAGCAGAGAAAGCAGGTGCCCCACCACTGAGCCATGGTAGCAGATGTTTCTTGCTAATGAAATGCTTTTCCTGCAGCTTGAGAAAATGCTGGGGACAAGAGCCAGTCTTGAAACGAATGGCAAACATGCAATGGCCTTGTAAAACTGTAAGAGCCACTGGTCAAACACCACAGACAGGATAAAGGTAGGGAGCCTGTTTCTGTAAGCTGCCTCCTTCTCCCATGCAGAAGTTCTGAAAGCAACCACGAGGCAGAAGAGAACAGATGAGGAGACAGCAAACCTTCTCACAGCAGGCTGACACTCCAAGTGTCATTTCCAGCAATCACGGCTGCTAACAGATTGTCTTAAGTACTTCCACTATGGGCAAGTTAGAGCATCATTTTTCATTTCATGTGCAAAGAAGCTGACAGAAAAGGGAAATGCTCCTACGCAGATGCAGGGTTCCTCTTCTGCTCTCCATGGAGCACACCAAGTTTCAATCAAGATACTGCAGTTCTCTTCAAGGATGTACCAAGCTCTCCAAACTGTTCTCGTCAAGGACACCCCAATCAACTCTAAGTTATAAATTGCCCACTACGCAAGACTTCTGCATGCATCCGTCTGCAAGCCCCATGTTGTTCTGGCTGTCCAGTGTTTTCCAATGACAAGAAGTCTCCTGGGTGTTTTTTTTTTTAAGTTCAGTGATGAGCTTCAATTTGTTCACGCATCAGAGTTTGTCTCTTTCTTTTGCCTTTTTTAAACATTTATGTTCTGCCTTTTTCTCCTCTTGCATGAAACCTATGGCCATTGCCCTCTCCATTCGTAGCAGGGCAATAACCCTCTGAGACAGATTAAGCTGAAGGTCAGTGACTGGCTCAAAATCATCCAGTGAGCTTCCTGGCTGCGTGCAGACACAAACCCAGATTTTCCAAGTCCTGGCCCAACACTATCTAAGCATCACGTCACTTGGATTCTTCTGAGATTCTTCTCCGATCTGTGACTCACCCAAACTGAGCTTCATGGCCTTGTGGAGAATATAACCTGGATCTCCCGAGTCCCAGTCCAACAATCTACCCATATACTGCTAAATAGCGTAACTTAGGTGCTACGAGACTTCGCAGCAATCAAGAAGTCCTTAGTTTAAGTCTCAACTCTGCCTGAACTCCATAGGTGGCCTTAAATAAGCCAGCCTCCCCCACTCTCTGCCCACCCCAGTTTAGGTAGGGATTGGGTGGGTGGCTAGCATGAAATGGTGGCTTGAAGAGAGGTTCAAGGAGCTAGATATATTTATCCTGAAGACCGAGGGTAAGGAGACATGACAGCTCTCCTTGGATAACCAAAACTCTCCTGCACAGAGGAAGGCTGCTGTCCCAGAAGGCAGGGCCTGACTATGGATTTCCTTTAACTTCTACACCACCCAACAGCCAAAGCTCTCCAAGTTTACATTGGAGAAGGGTAGATTTGGTTAAACATTCGAAGGTACCTCTTGATGGGAGCGGCAGCTTAGAAATGTAGGTGGGCTACTGCACGTTGGAAGTCTTCAGGTAAAGGCTGGAGGTCCACCTGTTGAGGATGCATTCATTTTGTATTTCCTGCATCAATGAGCAAGGGGATAGAACAGACGGTCCCCCTCCAGTTCTAGGATTCTAAGGAAGGATTTTCATTTTCCTTTCCCGTGGGTTTTCTTTTCTTTTGTTTTGGTTTTGGGTTTTCTTGATAGTTGAACTTCCACGGCAGGAAATAGATACAGGCTCAAACACACACTCTTGTGCAGCATCTCGTCGATGTGGTAAGTCCTTCATTTCTGTCTCCCTGTCCTCGCACTGATACCTTCCGTTCCTCGTGTTATTTCAAGTCTGGCAGGGTTAACAGGAAAGGCACAGATGTATCTGTGGCAAAGAGATGTTCCTCAAAGTGCCTTTTTGTGCCTCTGAATGGGACGCGGAGCTTTGAATGCTCTTTGTTAAAGCTCTGCATGGGAAGAAAACGGGCTGCTTAATCCTCACATGATCTCAAACCTCCTTTGAGACAAAACCGGCTGAGGTGCCCTTGTTCAGGAAGGCCCTTTATTTACAGCTACAGACTGACATTTTGGAAGAATACTTGGTGTTGCAATTACGGGCTTAGATTTTAACCCTGCAGGCAGTTTTCGCTTCTAGAGAGCTCAAACAATAAACCCAGCCACAGCGCCTCCCTTCCCAACAGGCACTGCCGTGCATAAACTGGGACAAAGGTTCTCTCCGGATTTTAATGAGCGCTGTAGTTTTCTCCACCCTGCCCTGAATTGACAACCAGGCAGGTTGACTTTTTGATCTGTTTTGGCTTGGCTTCCTAGACAGGGCTCTCTTAATGGTGTGCTTTTTTCCGAAGACAGGCACCTAAAAAGGTGTCACTGAGTAAACCCACCTTTGGGAGCGACACCTTTGTCATGAAACCCAATCAGCCCCAGTCTCTGCCTCAGAAAAGCTGACTGCTTCTTGTGCAAGAGTAGCTGCACTGATCTGTGCCTTTACTGTGCACAGAGCCAACATTGGGGCTACTCGGTAACACAGACTTATCTCAACAGGTAACATGGAAACACACACACAAGCCATGCACAATAAAGCAGTGATCAAGACAGGAAATGTACAACACGCCCAGACAGCCAGTGCAGTACTCCGTGAATCCAAAATGGCTCAAATGGAGGAGCAGCTTTGCCTTACGCCAAAACGGTGATGGTGCAGGTGCTGAGGGAAACTGCTGGGGGGGGGGGACATTCATAAGCAAGGAGACCCCACCCTTCGTAGCCCCCCAGTCGACTCCATCCACAAATTTGCTAAAGCCACATGTTTGTCTTTTCTTCTTCCTTTCCCACCTCCTCAAACAAGCATCCCCAACCAAAGCTCTCAAAAATTAACACTCTGATTACGTTATTAATTCATGATTAAGTCATCCCAAACATTAACCCTTCCTTCCAAACTGGACTTCAGTTCAGGAGCTACTGACCCATGCATCCTTTCAGACTTCTTCTTCTGTGCAGTCTAACTATTCTACGATAGCAAGTGGGGAAGAGTGCTTTTGTACTTTTATAGGCTTTTTGCGACTCAAAAAAGAAATTGTGTTTAGAATAAAAATAAAACTCGCACTTTGTATCCAGGGTAGCCTGTGGGCAAAGCAAATCTTTAAAGCTTGGCACTTATGCAGACTGTGAAGCAGAGTACGCTGGTTTTAAATGAGCTGTGGAGCCGGTTTTTATCCAGCGACGGGCTTGCAAATGACAGTCCTGGGAGATTTTGGGATGGATCTGCATTCCTAAAGTAATATGCTATCAGCTGGAAGGGACTGTCCTTTCCAAAAATCCGGAAGATTAAATCGCTCCTTGGCTCACAAAGAAGATTTTGCAGGGCAGGAAACAAACTGGCAAGCAGAATGGCGGTTGTGCGGCAGGAATATCCGTGATCATGGAGCTGGGACCCTGTGAAGGGTGTCCGTGGCCAGCCGCTTGCCCAGAGCCTGCGGACAAAGCCTGCTGGCCTTGCTCCTTCTCTT